ATTTCCAGTATGTTTCAGCCACATTTTCGGTGATTAGTGTACGAAATCACTCTCAGACATTGCCACGGTTAAGCAGATTTCAACTCTCGGAAGCCCGCTTCATAACATCTATCAATATTATTTATCTTTTGTCTCATAAGCCGCCATTTACAAGAAGTTTAACAATTTGCTGAGGTCCTAACTGACCCAGAAGTCTGTTAGCAGCCTTTAAAATCCTCCTCTTAATCAAAGATTCTCATCAAGAACTCGTTTAAGCTCAGTTCTGTTTTGATCTGTTGTGCACCTGCCATTATTCCACAGGTTGCGTTACATTTGACAAATGCACATTCCAACGGGTAGGGGTAGGGTGGGTAGGAAGTGAAAATGCAACCGGCAATTAAAGCCATTTTACACATTTCTATGGCTAAACCAGTAACCGGCTTTCCCAGAATGATTTGAACATGAGCTTCTGCTTGCAGGCAGTTTCTAGGGTTTTTTTGGTAGGGTAGGTAAGGGGGGAGTCGTGTATTAAAAAAAGAAAAAAAGAAAACGATAGACAGTATCAGGTCAAAAGATTATGGTCTGTGTGTCTTGATCAGCTTTATCAGTTCATCATCTTCCGTCTCATAAGCCGTCGTTTACAAGAAGTTTAACAATTCGCTAACAATTTCCCCTAAATTTCTTGCATCCTATTGACTTTTTACGCAAATATTCAGTATCCTGAAAACCCCTAATAGGGCCTCACTGATGAACTGATAAAGCTGATCAAGATACATAAACCATAATCTTTTGACCTGATACTGTGTACCGTTTTCTTTTTTCTTTTTTTCTTTTTTTAATACACGACTCCCCCCCCCCACCTACCCTACCAAAAAAACCCTAGAAACTGCCTGCAAGCAGAGGCTCATGTTCAAATCATTCTGGGAAAGCCGGTTACTGGTTTAGCCACAGAAATGCGTAAAATGGCTTTGATTGCCGGTTGCATTTTCACTTCCTACCCACCCTACCCCTACCCGTTGGAATGTGCATTTGTCAAATGTAACGCAACCTGTGGAATAATGGTGGGTGCACAACAGATCAAAACAGAACTGAGCTTAAACGAGTTCTTGATGAGAATCCTCGATTAAGAGGAGGATTTTAAAGGCTGCTAACAGACTTCTGGGTCAGTTAGGATCTCAGCGAATTGTTAAACTTCTTGTAAATGGCGGCTTATGAGACGAAAGATAAATAATATTGATAGATGTTATGAAGCGGTTTTCAGAGAGTTGAAATCTGCTTAACCGTGGTGATGTCTGAGAGTGATTTCGTACACTAATCACCGAAGATGTGGCTGAAACATACTGGAAATGTAACATGAGGCAACATGGAACATCCAGTTGTCGACATGTCGTGAGGTAAGTGGAATATATCATTATTTTCTCTGTGCAACGTTATTTTCACGTTATTATGCTAATTAGGACGGCGGTCTTTGTTGACAAAAGCACAGCTTAAACTTCTTCTTCTAACATTTTACAGTTTTAACTGCCCCAAAATTTTATTGCATGTCTTTACAGGTGAGACATTGCTCTTTACGTGGAGGGTAGTTTTGGGAACTCAAGTGATGTACTTTTGGCGATATTTTCCTTTAAACTTCGCCTTTTTTATGGCGCTTCATAAGTAGTCCGAAAGGAAAGAAATTTAAAATTCTGTAAAAAAAAACCAGGTGATGATCAAATTGTCAAAACAGCCTCTCAATGTAACTAGAAACATTTGCTTGTCTCGAATAAAGGGTTTTTACCCGGATTTATATCGTGTTCTTTGAATGGCAAATTGTTAAAAATGTGCCCTAAAATGGCCGCTGAAAGCCCTCTCAGAGGGGCAAAAGCAAGATGGTGGCCCCAGCGCTAAAATACGAATCGAACTGAACTGAAAGTTATATTTTTGTGAATCACTTATCTAGACCATTCATCTGAGAAAGTTTGTGGAATTTGATTTTTTCTGGTCCAAAGGGCCACAATTGAAATTTACAGAGGGCGCCTCTTAAGTTATCGGAAGTCAACTATAGTTCGACGATCAAAACAGATCTCTTCCATGCTCCTAGATTGAGTCTAAACATTCAAAGAAAACATGCTCTTTGATACCTCTGGAACCTCGTGAGCTTTTATTGCATTTACTTATTGGCCACTTCTTCCTCTATTGTGCATGAATGTTTTTCTCAATTCTATAAATCAGGGAATTTTCACGAGGCCCTAAATGATGCAACTGCCGCCATCAAGTTGGAGCAGACTTCGATTAAAGCTATAAAAACAGGTAAAATCCTTGACTCGACTGATTTATAAACATGAAGCGGACAGCTATCGAACAGAAATCTTCAAATACAAATGACATTAATCTCTTTTTAATGATATTCCCCCTCATGAGCCTCCATTAGAAGCTATTTCGAGTCCAATACCAAATTACGAATATGACTTTTACAAGAATACATCAGGTTTCAGATGTTTCCTTCTGTGCATTGTAAATAGTATTTCTTTTTTACCTGATATTAAATAATTTATTGTAGGAGCAAGTGCTTGTGAGAATCTACATTGTTATGGAGAAGCCATATCATGGTGTGAGAAGGGATTAGCNATGAGTAGTCCGAAAGGGAAGAAATTTAAAATTCTGTAGAAAAATCAGGTGATGATCAAATTGCCAAAAAAAGCCTCTCAATGTAACAAGAAACATTTGCTTGTCTCGAATAAAGGGTTTTTACCCGGATTTAGATCGTTTTCTTTGTATGGCAAATTGTTAAAAATGTGCCCTAAAATGGCCGCTGAAAGCCCTCTCAGAGGGGCAAAACCAAGATGGTGGCCCCAGCGCTAAAATACGAATCGAATCGAACTGAAAGTTATATTTTTGTTAATCACTTATCTAGACCATTCATCTGAGAAAGTTTGAGGAATTTAATTTTTTCTGGTCCAAATGGACATAGTTGAAAATTACAAATGGCACCTCTTAAGGGGCTCCTTGCTTCCTTCTTCTTAAAGCACCATGTTCTTCCTGGCGGCATATCAAACAACGTATCCGGTTCGCTCATGTACATGTCGTCACAGCAACATCCTTTGTCAAAGCAGATCGCAGGTGTTACAAATGGTGCTATTTGTGCCTCAGTTGCCGAATCACCAAAACGATCAACACGTTCCCTTGAACGAATTTTACCGGCAGTAGCTAGAAATAAAGAAACTATAAAGCTAATTAAGTGGCAATTAATTATTCTCTTCACTAACGAAATATACCTTCTGTCAGTGATAAAATCAGTATTCGATCGGTTCCATCGAAATGATTGTAAGTGCTATTGCTTAAAACGTTTAATTATTGCACTGATTATTTTTCAAATGAACGTGAGTTTTCTGCTCAGTTAAATTCCAATTTGGACTACCGTATTCTTTTATGTCTTTTATGCTACATCTGTTTCAAAAGGTCACTTCCGAGTCGGCTTTTGCGACCTCTGTGTTAAAACGAGTCTCCATATGGATGATGTTCTTTTTTACGCAAGTCAAGCTCATTTTGATATGAAAGGTTTTGCACCAAGAGGCACAACGTAATTCCGGAATGGCCCATTTACCTTGCCGTTTTCTTGGTTTTACATTCTGAGGTGTTAGTTTCTCCCTGTCCATGCTCGTATGAGGGGGTGGAGCGTAATGTGCAGCGACGTAAGCGCATCATTCGGTTTGATGGTGAGCCCGCATCCTAGCTTTGTCTCTCCTTTCCACACTACCGCTTGAAAATGCCCAACAGTGCTGGAAGCTTTGCCAGTTTTGTAGTTATAGTTGCTATTCTTGATTTCAGAATACCAACCTCTTACCGCCGCTGGTTTGCCTCCCTCCATCTTCCACATTCCTTCCCATCCCCAGCCTTTCCAAGAAATGCTCTCCGTAAACTTGTCTGTCCATTCTGAGTGGTACATTTTGCCATCTGCTGCCTGTTGAACAGTCCACGTCTGGGCTGATGTTGGCAGTTCCGGTTCGCATTTCAAAGGCGGCAAATTATGTTGTGTTCTATAATAATTATGCATCTCAAGGCAAAGCAGCTGATAATCCGGGCCACAGGCTGAAGGAAAATAATTAAATTAGAGTCAGTGGTAGAGATCGGATAAGGAGTGTATTATTGGTTTGTGCGTGTATTTGGAGGGCGGGGGGAGGGGCGAGAGGGAGGAGGGGGAGTGAGTGAGTGAAAGCTTTATTTATTACACGTCAAAAATATCGGTACAATAATAGAATAAAAGAAATACATCACATGTAAAGTATTAAATTTACTGGTTTTACATTTTTGCCGTGTAGGAGTCCGATGCAGAGAACCATTTATTAATACTTCTCTCGAAGATGTCTAGAGATTTTGTAGTGCGAAGTTCCTCTGGAAGATCATTCCATAGAGAAGCGCCGCTGTAACTGAAGCTACGCTTCAGGTAGTTGTTCTTTGCGTCGCGATGAAGGGGGTGTGGGGTTGGGGGGGGGGGGGGGGGGGGGNATTACATCTAGCAGTGGAGAATCCCCACTGCCAATAGGGGACACCTAACTAGAACTATCTTTGGTATGTTTTTGGGTTTGTGCGTGTATTCCAAGGGCTGGTGGGAGAGGGCGTTCGCTAGATGTCGCGTTAAAAAAAACTGAATCTTTTTGGATGATTTGGCCCCTAAAGGAACTCGTCAAAGAGTGTTTCAAGTTAAACAATTCAGTTACCTAATCCAGCTCCACAGTTTCCAACATCTTTCCAATCCTGAGCTAGGAGAGAAAGAAAACAATGGAAGCTTGGTAAATTATTATTTTGCTAACTTTTGTGGGCTAAATCCTTCCATTTATGAAGCTATTAATGAAAAACACCTCAGCCTTCTAATAGAAACACATTCATTTCTTAGTCTTTATTGCATGCTTTAGAAAGATCATTTGCATTAACAAAAACACCATACCAGTTGCTTGGCGGAGAATCTGCTGATATATCAAAAATGATTTTATATTAGAACCGTGCGTTTCATCCCGGCCAGGCCAGGGAATGTATAACGACTGGTCTCTTAATAATCTTTTTATCAATGTGACCAGCCCCATCGACACAGTGGAACCAATTCCACCACCAACGCATAACTAAAATCTGTTCGTATAACAGGGTGGTCGCATTATATTAAGGGTTTAAACAAATGAAGATGGCTGGTTGTTCAGTTTATGAAGTGGTGCAGGGCGGAGTTTTACTGTGTGGCAAGATGTTCATACCTGCTGATGGTCGAATTGACGGGTGTTAATATAACCTTGCATTGTAATTATGGGTTTGAAGTTTTTGTTTTGTTAATATATAGGAAATTGTAAGGATTGAGAAAGATCAAAAATTTAAAACAAGATTCTAAGAAAGTACCAAGGCTAAAATTTGGCAAAGGAACGTTTTTTTTTTGTCACAATTCAACGAAACATATGGATTGGCAGCACGCATGCATGCACTGGCAACACCTGATAGTTTGTGAATGGTCGTAAATTTCAAATTGATAAGGAATGCATGACATTTTTAGATTCCAATTGTTAAAAAAATAAGAATGCTCAGCCTCATACCAAGTGAAGACGGCCTCTAAGAGACAGTAAAATGGATTACTTATTGGAGGTGGGTGAACGTGTTTGGCGCCATGTACCTGATATCACCCCAAAGCAGACCAGCATAGTATGAAGTACAGCATCTCTCATCTTCCAAGGTCTTCTAACAAAGCAGGCTTTTTGCAGAGACAAATATGGTGCAGTTAGACCGTGATTACAATGCAAGTATCGCTTTCGTATTATAAGTTTTTTGGTGGGTCAATAGTATTAAAATGGTGCTTTTCTTGCAGCTACTATCACAAGACAAAGCCATTCGAGTTAACTAGGTTTTTCAAGTTGTTCTGTCGTTGATCTTAAGTGGGTTACTATAAATTTGTTGCTGTTGACGTCAGTGGCGATGGTGTAACACTAATCTACTAACGAGGACTAACCGTTTCAAAAAGCTGCGAAATGGGTCCTGAACACGGTGGTGGCGTTTAAGCTAAACAACTCCCGGCCCACCAAGGAGCAATTCAAAGTTTTAATTACGTGAGGTATCTTGCGAAACCTGACGACGACATCTAACTACATCTTGCTCGCTATAAATTCCTGATTTAACATTACTGCACTCAATGAAACTATTGGGAAGGATGCGCACAACTTATAATTATCATGGCAGCTCGTGGTGATATGGGTCTAACTGCTGCTCCAATTTACCTAGTAATTACAAATAATTGAAATGTTACGTAACTGTTAAATAACAGGTACCAAAGCTGAATATAGGCCACTTTGAAAACCCATGTCATTGTCACATGACCATGCCAGGAGTCCATCATTAGGAGTGTGCAACTACCCTATATTCCTGTCACGGCGTTTTCACAGACCGATCTATTTTTAGCTTGAATTTACCACGAATTCAGATCCCCGCAGTAACCTCATGTGATCAGTGACCAATCACAAGCCCGGACTTAATTTTTAACTGTGATGTTGATGTGCTGCTGATGTGAGGTAAACCTTTTTTTCCTTACCGATGCATGTTCGTGTAGACCGGAACTGACCTATTTCGCGCGAAAAGAAGCCTAAAAAGAGACCGGTCTGTAAAAATGCTGTGACATGGCTTAGTAAGGGAGTTGCACACTCCTAGACATGGGCTCTTGACCATGCTTTGATTATCATAAAACATGAGGCGACGACGTCATAACATGTGGTAATTACGCCACGTTCTCCAAATGAACGTCATCTTTGATCTTTTACCTTCAATCCCGAACGGAAATGTTAGAACACCAAACAAGTTGTCCCTCTTGCCCCACTAACAATGTTGAAATAAATTATTTTCCTCCTTTTAGTTGTAAAATAGCAACATTTTCCAGCATTGATAAATAAGGGGTGATGTAGTATACGTGATCCACCTTAAGGGTTTCGGCTACTTTCGTCTGGGATTGTAAGTATGATAACAAAATTAAGAAACACTACTCACTTATGGTAGTAAAATGGTTCCCGCACTTTTGTGCATCTGCTGCTAGTTGTGCATTCCATTTCAGAGGTGGAAGTCCGTGTTTTGAGCGATGTTCGTTATTATGAGCTTTCAAGCAATCCTTTTCAAATTCTGTGATACCTTGAGTACAATAAAAAAATACAGGAATTTCTCAGCTTGCAATCTAAAGCCCGTGACTCAAATGTCGACTGTTAAGCCCGAGTTGTTTGACAGGTGGATAAACGCTATCCATAGGATAACTCGCTATCCAGTTGATAACTGTTAACAAAACAAACCACGCTATCCACTGGATAGTGATTTATCCGGTGGAGAGCTTTATCCATCTTTCCAAAAACCAGCGCCAGGTATCCATAAAGCGAAGATTCTTTCAATTGAAAAATTAGACTTAAGGTCATTCCCCAGTATTGCATTGCGCATCTCTACTGCGCATAATTTCACGCGTGATTAGCGCGTGTGCATTAAAAAATGGCGGCTTTTTCTTTACAGCTGGACCTCGCCATAGAGGTAAATCGACATTTTCTCGCAAACGAGTATGGTGACCTATCATTTTTTTCTGTTGTTTTGAATTGAGTAATAAATTTCCCTGTGTAAAATAAATATGGACCAATTCTC